ACAACTTTGCAACACGTCGCAGCTACGACGAGGCTTACGACGCTCTGGATCCCTCCCAGTACGACGACAGGCTGAATGTATCCCACCCCCCTCCCCCCCCCCCTGGGTTCATAAAGAAGTGCTTGCATACAGTATCAGTTCGATGAAGCGTTCACGTTGAGAACAGACTGCTTTGATCAGGTCGGTGGCTCACAAATATACGGGCGAAAAACACTGCTCGATGAGTCGAGAACAGGCTGGATGTATTACAGCAATGCCTCCAGCGAACGGAACAACCCCACTCCTTCAATGGAGTCGAACGAGATGCGCGCATGTTACACGTTCCATGTAGTTCAATGAACTTAGGTTCACATTGAGAACAGACTGCTTTCAGCAGGTCAGTGGCTCACAAATATACGAACGAAAAACATTCTTCAATGAGTCGAGAACAGACTGCATGTGTTGCACCAATGGCTCCAGCGAACGAAACACCCCCACCCCACCCCTTCACTGGGGTCTAACGAGATGCGTGCATAATAGTACACGTTCCATGTAGTTCAATGAAGCGCAAACTGAAATCATACACCCCTCTCCTTCTGCTGCATTCAGAGCAGCCCGCGTCGATCAGTTTAGCGGCTCGCGAACGTGCGAAGGCCCCGAACTGCTGTACGCAATCTGTTCTCGACGCAGCGCGGGCTCCTATCCTCAAAGAGGGCCTTATGACGCGCCATGAGAGCCATCACCACAGAAGTGGTCACAAACATATTTTTATCGCGAATACGCCTGGCCTCTCGCTCGATGACTATCTCCTGCCGTAAAGAAAATGGAACTCTGGCGCGGCTTTGGCGCTCCAAAGCGCCCGCAGAACTCGGTATCGTGCTGCGCTCGTCATCCTTCGCGTCAGACACGCTCGTCTCACTGTACATGACACGTTTCATCCTTTCGACACTCCTTACAGCATCGGCCCGCCGGTTTTTGGCCGCATAAGCCTTAAACGCTGTTTCCGGACGATGCGTCATATGATTCGCCACCTGGCGGCGTTCCAGCTCCGGGAGGTCACTGTAGGCTGCCGTTGATGCAGCTTTTCGGAGAATGGTGGGGCTAAACTTCCTCACACCAAACATGGCACACACAAGACCCAAATCCTCCCAAGGATCCGACGAGGGGAAAAGCTCATCCACGTGATCATCTTTAGTCAAAAAAGACCTGGCCTGAGCGACGTAGAAGTCTAGGTATGACGCTACATCCGTGATCACTAGGTTGGCAGAGCCGTAGGATGCCCTGCTCTTATGCTCTTTGACCCTGATGATGCCCTCCTTACAGTCATGGTATTGGGCCAACGTAGCGTTGATGATAGTGCCAGATCGTTGGAAGTTATCGAGAAGAATGGCTGTAGTTAGAAGTCGCCTCAGCTTCACCGCGTCGCCTCTCTTAGAAATCACAGTTTTTTGCATTTTTTCGAGCTCTTCCAGTGTCTTGACTCGAAGTAAGGTCAGTTCTTCCTTTGATGGCAAATATTCCTCATCGCCCATGCGATCTTGGAGGTCCGCTTGGCGGTGATGGTCCATGAGCGTTGCGTCTCTTTTCCAGACCTCGAGTCTGCGCAGCGTTGCATCCCACGCCGCGTTGTTGTCTGGCTCCCTAACGCTCACGAAACGTGAGAACTCCAGTAGAGCGATTACAGTCGATTTAACTTGTGCTGGATGGTTAGGGAGCTTCTGCAGAAGAGCATTTTCCACATCGTCCAAGTGGAGACGAAGAATCGTTGACGCGTCTCTCTCGCCACAGGTTTCGGCCACATCGCTCAGAAGAGACCGAAGCTGTTTTTCTTGCCGCCGGGCCGTCGTTGGGGTGCGGCGCCAACCAGCTTTACTTTCAGAGAACTTGTCCAGGAGAGAAGCAGTTGCGCCTGTGTTCGTGGCCTCCTTCGGTCCCTCGTCGCCGGTGCACGCTCGCAGAAGCATCAATTCCTGCGAAAAGAGAATGTCCATTAGGTGGTAAGTTATCTAGTGCTTAAGCGAGGCAGGCACAAATGTCACTAATTAACTCGAGCCCTAAAAGGACCACTTTAACAGAGCTGTTTGTCAAACTTCTGAAACAAGGCTTATGAGAGCTATCGGTGCAGACCAGTGGACGTATAGTTTTATAATTTAGATCCATGTTTGAATGGACGTATTGCCGAAGTCGAAGCCCACGCTAAGCAGAGCTTTTGCGCAAGCTTCAACCCCTACCATCCGATCGTGAAGTTCCAGGTCATCGGGAGAATTTGGAACCCAAAGTTTATCATGTCCATCAAAGTCGGACACGGTCCGTCCCACTCGACTGACTTCAACTGGCCGCGGCTGCTCCCACAAAGCGCGGACCACCCCCGTCAGAAGTTTCATATATCGAGCGCCGGAGCGTCTCGAACCCGGGCTCTCACCTCCGGGAGTCCGACGCTCTACCAACTGAGCTACGGGACGGACAAAGAATCCAGAATGGCGCAGTTGTACAAATGGGCACGAAAGGTCATAAATTTACAATGTTACCGATGTTAAAATATTCATTTCACTTGGAACGCTGTAGCTCGTGAACCAAAAGAGCTAGAACGGCGCAGAAAAAAGAGAACGATAGCCAGTTTACAGCCCTATCCGGATTAGGCCGTCATATTTGACCTCAGCTCAACGGTTTAGCCTCCGGGGATAAAAATCCGAAATCGCCATTTTTTTAACCTAACTTCTAGACAGATACCGCTAGTCATATTCCAAACAGCATTGTACTTCTCTCATGACGCATCGAGTGATATAACCTAAATTATAATATGTTATAATATGACCTAAAAAGTTGCGTTTAAAAATCTGACCTCAGACCAAGGTCATGATCTGACTCGAATAGGCCATATTGCATATTCGTCGATTCCTTCCGTCAAGACAAATAATACATCGAACTTGTCGTGGAGTCTGTATCTTGTCTCAATCAAACTGTCGGTGACTTATGATGACGTCACATGATTTCCAGTGCTCCATGCATGGGTTATCGGTGCACCTGTCGACTTGAATGGTTAGTGAACACTTATTGAGACATGTTTAAACTTTTTGATATGCTTTTGACGCGAAACAGGATGAATGGAAATTTTATTCATTGACTTATAGTGGGGAGGTCGCAAAATTGGCATGACTGGGTCAAAGGTATGTACTATATAACAAATCCGAGCGAAACATTTTCTTCATTCTGTCACACTTAACAGCTGCTCAAGGTTTCAAAGTAATCGAACAACCCTTGTAGTTAGGGCGCGTATTCATTTTTTAGGAGATTGGGTCACTTAACTTCACCTGGTGACCTGACCTTTGATGGCTTGAGGTTATAATTTTCACAAACTTTGCGGAAAAGATGCATGGTATGTGCCAAAGAACGGCGGCGCCACCTATCACACATCTTTCCCGCATAATTTGTGAAAATTGTAGCCAAAGGTCATTAAAAGTCAGGTCACCAGGTCAAGCTCTGACCCAATCCCCGGAACATTCAAACACGCCCCCTGACTACAGGGGTTCTTTGATCATTTTGAAACCTCAGCAGTGGCTATGGACGACAGTATGTAATACATGTGTATCCTTTTTTATTATATCTATGTCCTAAGATCTGAGTGCATCATCCGTCATCCGTCCCTCAAAGTACAATCAGCTCGGTGGCGTCATGTCCTCGTCTTTCCCGCCGCCCTTCGTGCTCCGGGCTGGTGCCACCGGAAGGGGGCTAACTGGGGCAGCTCTTAGAGAGCATACCCCGACCCCGGGTGACCGTATCGCGGCCCGTCGGTAGCCCCTTGTGGGGTTGTCCCATGGATGGTGGATGCCCGTGGGGCACCCCACCAGTGTCAGAAAAGTGGATTGATGACCTAAGTTCAAAGAATAAATTTAACATCCCCACATAATAAATTTTGAAGGTGGTGTAGCAACTACCATATGTGTTGCCATCACATATACATTCAAATGTGATGCCTCCATAAGAACAGCTTTTTAAGGCAGAAACAATCAGAACTATTATGTTGACTGGACATCACAGATAAGACCGATGCTAGCTTCAGATTTCAGGATAAATTCCATTGTTTTAAGTGGGTAACGACATTGTTACAGACTATAAATATCAATTCAAATAATCAATTCATAAAAAATCAATTCTTTAACCTTCCAGGCGGTGGGGGGGGGGATTTTTTTGCCCCCCCCCCCTCCCTTAATTTTTTTTTATATATCTCCAGAACCGCTGCGCCGATCGTCACCAAACTTTCAATACCCTCCCGTGAACAGCTATTGCACATTGTGACCAAAAAAATTCCAAAGGCTATGATAGGTTGGCCGCTAATGACGTCGGATTGACGTCATTTTTGCCATTTTCGACCCAAAAAAAGGTTTCGCGGGAAGAGCTGTCAGGCCTACAGCTTTAGAGATACAGAAAAATGTTTCAGACATAGAAAGTGTAGAATTTACATGGCTACAAAACTGCTATCTCGGATTTTTTGAAATTTTTGGATTTTGACCCCCAAAAATCAAAAAAGGTTTTTGAATATAATAACAGAAAAATCCAGTTTTTTAATTAAAAAAAAAAAACGGAATATATGTCATAGTTAATACCGCCTTCTATCTACATACGAAATTTGAGATCGATACCTCTTTTTTGGCCAAGTTATAGCGAAAAAACTTTAAAATTGATGACGTCAAATTTTCAAACTCAATTTTTAGCAATTCTAGACCTCGTAGCGCAAAACAACGATCACCATTAGACTCCCCGTGACGAGCTGCATCGAATCGATACCCATTTTGTGCAAAAATATCCCGAAAGTGACCTAAACTGTACCTGATGGTCTCATAACCAACACCATTGAGTTGGAAATGAAAAAATTGGCCATACAACATGCACCACACAACCTTAGTAAGGCTGGGTTCATGTGGTGACCCTTGGTGACCTGACCTGTGACCTGACCTGGTATGACCAGTGACCTCTAATAGCAACATATGTACTAGACAACTGACGCCCTATCGCTGATTTTCGACAAAATGCGTTTTCCTCGGTGTTATAGCGCTTTCCCTAGAAGACCCGTGAACGGTGAAACATTTTATCTTTGACCTGACCTGTGACGTCATCGGTGACCCCGAGGTCAATGAAACTTGGTTTCCCTCAACAAATTTGACAGGGCTATCGAACGCCGTTTGAATTTTCCGGATCCGTCCAGTAGTTTCAGAGATACGGGGGGGGGGAAATGCCCCCCCCCCCACCGCGCGGAAGGTGGCCGGGAGGCCCACCGCCTGCCGGGTTAAGGTCAAAGTTTTTTTGCAAAAGAAAAGCTCCAAGTTCAGAAAAATTGAGAAACTGCCCACTTTTCTGACCCTGCACCCCACCTGGGTCAGCTGGGCTGCGGCGGCTCACCCATCCGGTGGCAAATAACCAGACCACTGTCACTCCCTAAACCTAAAGTCCCATAGCTCCGCAATGGTCTAATAGGGCCGAAGGAGCTTTATCCCAACAAAACAAACAAAAACAAAATCTGAGTGCAATATTATAGAAAAAATAAGAAAAAATTAGGGCTTCATTTGAAGTAAAACTTTTTCACCAGGAGCAAATTGAATCATACAAGCTTATTAGTACTAGGGGTTCTAACTGGCTGATATGGTTTGATTTGGTCCCGGCTATACAGTCTCACTGCAAACAAAGCTGTAATATTTGTCTTATTTTTTTTTTTTATAATATTGAGCAAATGCTCACTAACCATTCAAGTTGACAGGTACACCGATAACCCATGCATTGAGCACTGGAGATCATGTGCCGTCATCATAAGTCACCGACAGTTTTTTGCCAATAACTTTAATTGAGACAAGATACAGACTCCACGACAAGTTCTATGTGTCTTGACTTAACGAATCGACCAGTATGCAACATGACCTATTCGAGTCAGGTCATGACCCGGGTATGAAGTCAGATTTTTAACGCGACCTGTTGATGTCAAATTATATACCATTCGACACATCATGAGAGAAGTACATTGTTGTTTGAAATGTGGCTCTAGCTGCATCTATCTAGAAGTTAGGTTAGAAACAAAAATGGCCATTTTTGCTTTTTTTATCCCTGAAGGCAAACCGTTCACCTTAACCCTCGCCCCGGCAGGGCATTTTCCATAACACGTCCCGGCAGGGGGGGTCGATGCGACCCCCCCCCCCCCTGGCGTTTCGAAACTAAGCGTCGTAGCGCTTCGCGAAAAAAAAAAACATTCGATTGCTCTCGACGAGTACTCGCGATTGGTGGTATATTGTTTGACCCTAGGTCAACATTTGACCTAGTTATGACAGGTCAAAAGTCAATTTTCTGGGAAATCGACGTTTTTCAACGTTACAAACAATGGCGACGCAGCTATGGCAGATATCGCCATGAAACCTCTACCATCGTGTTTGATGGACAATTGGCATCATTTTGATATATAATTGATCGCTTTTGTACGGTTCCTGTCGCTGCATAACCCCAGGAAGAGCGCCAGGTCACGCCCGCCGCGCAGCGTCGGTGCCGGCCGGCCGGCCGCTAGCGACTTTGGGAGCTCGCTGCTGCTTGCGCTGACGTAGAAATGAAGCGACGGTGTCTCAAATGAATAGCGGATATGAATTCAGGACCCCCAGAAACCCCTATAGACATAAACAACACATGAACTTATCATAGCGTCAAGCTAGGTCACTGACCTGACCTTGACCAAAAGGTTAAAGGGTATTGTGGTGGTGTCCTACAAGTTAGTTATTACCAAAAACAGTCAAAAGAAGCCTTGTCGTGGTCGATATCGCCTTCTAATTCGCCTTTTCTCGCAAAAATGGCCTGACATTGTACCTCTTGTGACGTCATAGCTCCGTGACCTGACATGACCCGGTCAATTTTTTGCACCAAAAGTTGCTCAAAGGATACCCCATAGGCTATGTAAGCTTGTTGCGTTGGCCCTGCCCTCTACCCTCCGATCGCGCAATTCCTGTTCTAAGGCAGAATTTAGAGCCGAATGTTTAATGTACGCACATAGCCGCGCACGGCCGGTCCCCTCACTGACTTCACCTGGCTACGGCCTGCCACCAACCGTAACCATACCCGCCAGGAGGCTCATAAACAGCAAGCGCCCGTCGCGCCTCGAACCCTGGACCTTTCTTACCGGGACGCGTTCTCTCACCACGCGGAGTCCAACGCTCTACCGACTGAGCTACAGAACCATCTGCGGGACCTTTGATCACCTGAGCTTAAAAATGACAAAATTGCTTTGTCATGAGTTTGACAACCTTTCGAACGCCGCCTGTGGCATCTCACTACGTAGATCAGGAGCCGAATGGGGGGGGGGGGGGAAGAGTTCAACCCCCCTCCAACCCGGCGCGGACGATCAGATTACCGGCCCGGCGCCGGTTAAACCCACGCTTGTGTTGGGCAATCTATTTGCTTATTCTATTTCTTGTAACCGACACATCTAAAGACACCATGGAATTGACCTCAATACACAGCCAGTATGCACAACACTTACCATTTCGTTGGCGAATGCTGCGTCCCGAGCAGTCTTCCTCGCTGCACGATCTGTGACCTTGTGGTACCGTTTCATGTGGAGCATAAGGTGATGTACCTGAGCTCCGCACTCGGCGCACGTCAACTTCTCCGGCATCTTTGGTTTCCTATAAAAGAAACGTTATTCGTCATTGCATGCAGCATACATGACAGCTGCAATCCATCGCCTTAATTAAGTCAGTTTGTAAGCGACCAAACGAGACATCGGTGGACGTTCTAAAATTGACAGCTGCCGATTGGAACGATACCCATGTGCCCTGCATCTAGGTGTGTAAACGGCGGTATGAGCGAGGCAGTGGCTCAAGCCGGAGCCAGCGAAGATACCATAGTGACTTGGAGACCAAGTTTCAGAAATCATACGGAACATATGTGTGGCAAGTTGTGTAAGGACACCACTCCACGTCGCCTGCTTTCGTTCTACCACGAAAACCAGGTGTTCGTATCGCTCTCACACAGAACACGGACAAATGAGCCAAATGATGTTGAACAAGACCGGAAGGCATCAGTTAAAATAAGACTTTAAATCACTTTTTGTCAAAATAGGAGACAAAGACGCAAATGAGCTCGACTTACTTTTCTAGAAGCTCCTTTGAAAATCTCTTCATGTCCTCTTTCACCGACTTAAGGCTGGCAGGATCGGTAATCTTATGACGTCGCCGGAAGTGCTGTGCTATCCTGGAGTCCTTAAAGTGAAATCCGCACATATGGCATATGCGCCGGCCTCGTGCAGTACCACCTGTGAACATAGGGATTATTTGATACCATGAGTCTTATATCTTTGACGTTAATGACGGGATTCTTTTCTAATGACCCATAACTTTAAACGGACTGATTGGATTGGATTTATTTGAGCTCAATACACATTTAACATGAAATTCATTTTAGCAAAATTTCGAACGCCAACTCGCGTACCGGTAGGGGAGACGACTAACGAACGTGTGACCTGGCTGTACGAACGTGGTAGTGCCCAACAGGGACATTTTCAAACGTACATTACATCATGTGTGCAAGGCTTATCACGCTCGTACATCAGAGCGTAACCTGCGGTTAAGTCAAACCTTAAAGTTAACCATTACTGAAGGCTGCATTTACACGCTGTTTTAACCCATCGACTTTGAAAGGCTTTCATTCGCGGTATTGCGTTTTACTGAATATACAAACTATCGAACTTCAAATGTAAACCTAGATACGATACTACATATTTTGCCAAATTTCGCGATAGCTGAACTGGATAATACCTCAGACTAATCTTAATAATTACCTTTCTCCTCAGCCTTTTCGTCCGACGGAAACGTGACCTTGACTGCCGCCAGTGCTTCATCCTGTAAAAACAACATTGATTGGCACATTAAAAACATCAACGAGTCAATACGAGGGGTCTGAGAATCACTTGTTCTGGAGGGGGGGGGGGGTGCACTCTGTCACCCTCGCCATCTCATCTCCCACAAGTAAAAACACGAATATTGGGAGGTTGGTAGGCTCACGTAACTCCAAAAGGTGCAAATGTAGTGACCTTTTATCATTATTTCAAGGTATCGTTACTTTTCACTCGCGCCGGGCGGGCGGTGTTTGGGTATGTACCACGCCCCTCATCTTTTTCGTCGATATCTAAAAAACGGCAAAGCGCAGCGCCACCGTTTCTTGGCACAGCTTATCATACATCATTTTCGCATAGTTTGTGAAAATTGTAGCCCCAGGTCATCAAAGATGAGGTCACCAGACCAAGTTAAGTGATCACCGAAAAATCACAGAAAAATCACCGAAATCACCGAAAAAATTCACCGAAAATTCTAACACGCGCCCTGGCTACAGGGGTTGTTCGGTCACTTTCAAACCTTCAGCAATCCTTTAGGGTTATAGGATGCACAAAACGCATACCTCGGATTTTCGATATCTGACATAAGGTCAGGTCAATGTTGCGACCTCCACATTATAAGTCAATGGGCGAAATTTAAATTTATTCTGTTCCGCGTCAAAAACATCTCAAACAGTCAAAATGTGTCACAATAAATATACGCTAGCCATTCGAGCCGATATGCACCGTTTAGCCGATACCTGCACTGAGCACCGGAGGTCATGTGACCGATATGCACCGTTTACCTCTGCACTGAGCACCGGAGGTCACGTGACCGATATGCACCGTTTACCTCTGCACTGAGCACCGGAGGTCATGTGACCGATATGCACCGTTTACCTCTGCACTGAGCACCGGAGGTCATGTGACGTCGTCATAAGTCAGCGACAGTTTTTTTTTAATTCACTTTAGAATCAGGCAAGATACAGACTCCAAAACAAGTTCAATATATTTGTCTTCATGAGACGAATAGACGGATATGTAACATGGCCTATTCGGTTCAGGCCATGACCTGAGGCCAAATTTTCAACTTGACCTTTTGAGATCATATTATATATTATTTGGCGCATCTCGACGAGGAATAAAATGGTGCTTGAAATGTTGTTCTAGCTGTATTTGTCTAGTCATTTTGGCAATTTACGATTCCTGGATGTTAAACGGTTGACCTGAGCTCAAATCAGACGACTAACCACAGATAGAGCTGTAAATGAGACGTTTTTTTTTTTTACTCAGTTTATCATAGTTTACACTTTACGTACAATGTGTTTTACTTTTAGCCTGGGCTCACTTACTATAGTTAAGGTATATAGATTTACTGGCTTTTATTATGCTTCTTATTCTTATTGAGGTACTTGGTGGGCTGTACTTTGCTTATTTATTGTGTGCATTTTTACTGTATATTTTTATACGTGTAGGGTAGGTACTATTGTACTCAGTAGGTATTATATTTTATGTTGTGCTGTTTTTTGTGATTTACTAATTTTAGGCCTATGACTTCGCCTGTAAGTGGAGATTGCTCTGTTGGCGATTATGCAAATAAATAAATAAATAAATAAATGGGCTACCGTCATCTTTTTTCCATACCGCTCTAACTCTTCTGGTTTACGAGCTACAACGTCTCAAGTGGTAAATTATCTAAATCGTGCAAAAATCTAACATATGATCTTCGATGACCTCTTGTGACCAGACCTTTGATCTGACCTTAAAAATGACCGAATTACTGAAGTCACGATTTTGACGAGCTTTCGAACGCCGCCTGCGGCATCTCGCTACGTGGCTCAGGAGCAGAGTTAGAGGGGGAGTTCAAACACCCTTCCCCCGGCCCAGCGCGGGAGGATCCGACCACTCCGGCACGGCGCGGGCTAAGGTATCACTATTCGCTACTTGCCCAAAGATGACACGTCATGAAGGATGGACCCGGTAACCACGTCATGATTTTTCAGGACTATAACTAGTCTCATGAGAATTCAGTCCCATCCAGTGCACAGTGGGGGATTTTTCCGATCTAGCACGTATTTATTCGTAGAGAGCAAACCATAGGTAGAATTGTAGCCAGATTGTGCACAGATGTTGGCTGGTGTGTCCTGGTGAGAATTTTACCTGTAAATGTGCATAATCAACATAGTACAGGGGGTTCAATTGGACCCCCCGCTCAGCCGTTTGGCCCCTGATCAAGCTAGAGCTTCGCGGAAAAGTCAAGCGTGCTGCCTATGACGAAATGAGGCCGAATATATCCAATTTCAAAGTCCAAAGTCATAAGCTGACTTTCCAAGTCAGTTTAATGACCCAACTAAAGTTGGGAAATCGAGACCTCTTGAAACTTCGCAAAGTTAGGGTGTTACGGGGTATTTTGGGGTGCTGATCACGAATTTCATGTTAGTTTTGATCACAGACGATGTATTTATGCATTTAGGCCAGGTCGGGTCAGGTCAGGTTAGATCAACTAGTAGGCGTCCTGCCGGCCATCCATAGAAGTGTCACCTACTACTGATAGCTTCGTAACATGGAACGAAGGCACCAGAACTACTTCGTAAATATTCAAATGGCTGCTAAAATCGAAATCAGCACCAAAAACTACCCTAGAAACAAGTAAAACTCGAAAAAGTGGACCAAGGTCATCAAAAGGTCAATGACCTTGACTTGACCTTCACGTGACCTTGACACCCACCATTATGCATAGCACCAACATCATTTCACATATCTGAACGTTTAAAACCACAAAAAAGACTGGAAACCGCGGATAATGTGAGCTGGCATACGCCGAATCGCGATTCCGGCCAAACATAGTCTCGAGAAATATGCCACAGGTCAAAGGTCAGTTGGGTCAGAGTCATGAAATTTTTAGGTTAGATGTAAAATTGATGATCTCGAGGGCACCGAAAGTTTCTGCGCGATCGGCCGCTTTTTGCGCGAGTAATTTGCGGAAAACCATGGGGTTTTATCCGACCCCTTCCCCCTCCCCCTCCCCACAAGTGCGATGGTTAATAAGGTTACGGTATGTATAATTTACGCTTGTCATCCTATTCCTAATGAATGTGTCTCAGAAAATATGCATCATATAAATCACGAAGTAAAATTATTCGCCTATGTCCGGAACATGCTGTTTGCCCTAGCGCTCCTCGAGTGGGGTGTTAAGATACTCTAATGTGAATATTCCGTGTTCAGGCAAGTTTCGGCAGCCAAACTAGGCGTTGTCTTGTGCAGGAGAAAGTGGCGAATTCGATATGATATATTTCGGAGTGGAAAAGTGTGGAGAACATTGTTGATTTCCTACATTTATTTAGAATACCATTCCTTCAATATGGTGTCTGTAAGGGTTTTTTGTAAAGGGCATTTTTGTGACCTTAGTAAGGTTGTGGCATACTTTCTGTTTGCCATTCCATTCCTAATAAAGGTGCCTTTCAGATGATATGCAACTTTAAGACCTCGCAAGATTAAAACCAACAGGACAGGACAATGAAATTGAGCTATACTTTCGGGCCTTGCTGAGCCCATTGAGTAATCACGCATGAGTGTGAACTTTGGGCGCATTTTTCCTAGTTTTGCTGTGGACATACAGATAAAACAATGCCATATATGAAAAATTCAGACATTTCTTAGCCCTACTGACACAAAAAAATAAACAAAAATCCAAAAAAGATTTTTTGAATTAATAGGCGCTAGATCGGAAAAATCCCCACTGTGCAGTGGGCCAGCTCTTGCCCAGATTTTGCCCCTACTAGAACGGAGTAAACCGTTCAAGTATGATCACCACGCAAGTGCACGTATGACACCGCCGAACCACCACGTTTCAGTTCACAACAATTTCACATTCACACCATACCCTAGAAAACCCATAAGCATAACAACATCGTCGGTGTTCAGCTAGTACAAGCAAAAGGACAGTGAAATACACTATCATTTGCAGCCAAAACAATGCATACATGCAGGGCTGCGGAGTCGAAGTCGACAGTTTTGCCCGGAGTCGGAGTTGGAGTCACCAAAATTTTACCGACTCCGACTCCGCAGTCGGAGTTAACACTTCATGGCTTAACCCTCCCCCTGGCATATGGGGGGGGGGGGAGGGTCGATGCGTCCCCTCCCTGTTTTTTTTTTTTGCGATGCGCGCCGAACGTCGGATAAGTGCTGAAATTTGTCATAGCCTCTGGTGCATCCTTTGCGCAGCTTTTGATAATTCTCGAGGCCCTGAATCCGAATCTGTGGTTCAATTTTCACCTAAACGCCTTCAAAAATATTCGTTGGCCTTTACAAAGCCAATTCAGATCAATTACCTAGATTGAACTTAGAAGAAGTCGAACAGAATATTGTAGGATATCCGAGATATTGTAAAAGTGTAATTATCATATACAGAATCTTGTGACTAATTGACGAGGAACACGATTGTAAAAAAATGCATTATATCTTTCATAAATACACCAATATTGGCTGCATCAGTTGCAAACTCTGTTTTCACCGGGCCGGCTGATATGACCCGGCGGATTTCCGGGGATTCGTAGCGTCAGTCAAAGCGCAAATCCAGTCAACAATTTGCCATTTTGCAGCTTTTTGACTGAGGGATACGCTCCTTAAAGTTGCAAGTCTATATCGTTCACAGATGCGCCAATGTTGAGTTAGCTGGAAAGCTCTCGATATTCTCGACCGTCCTCGCCGGCGGCGGGTGTGACCTCCCGTGTTCCCGAGGAAAACGTCACGCCAGTGATGACTGGAATGCAGTCACCTAAGCATCATTTTGTTGTCAATTCGTTGAGAAACACGGTCGTGAAAGTTTCATGTCGCTATCCTTCATAGTTTCGCTCATATTGGCTAAGCAATTTGGAAAATTTAGCTGTTCCCGTAAGTTGACCTTTGACCTTCAATAACTGGGTCAAATATTGACCTAGGGCCAAGAAATATACCATCAGTCGCGAGTACTCGTTGAGAGCAATAGACTGTTTTTTGTTGCGAAGCGCTACGAGGCCTAGTTTCGAAACGCCAGAGAGGGATAGTGGCATCGACCCCCTGCCAGGCCGCGGTATGGGAAATGACCTGCCAGGACGAGGATTAAATGCTGCCTTACACCCGTTTTCTTGATAGCATTATGCTCTATAACCTATCAAATTCAGATTATTTTACAACATACGCCGAGTTTTGAGCGAGCGTTTTTCATTGAAAAAGCAGCTGGATATGGCAGCGCCAAAAGTTATTGTAAGCTCTGCAAACTATTTAAAAGTGTATTTGCAATCATTTAAAGCCTTGGAACGCACCAATGGTCGATTCAGGTAAGATAAAGCATCTCCGACATGAACTTTACTTTCATTGTGTGGCCACTTTTTGAACAATGTCCGGAGTCGAAGTTACAGTCGGAGTCGGAGTTGATTTTGGAAGTCGGAGTCGGAGTCGGAAGCACCAAAAATCTGTCAACTCCGCAGCCCTACCTACATGTGATATCTACTACCAAACTATAGCCATTAATTTCTTCCTCACCTTAGTTGCACCCTCCTTGATGAGTATCATTATATTGCCGGAGTCGAATGCCGATTTCCAGAGATCATCCTCTGTAACAGACACGTTGAAAAACTTCGGTAACAAACCTCAGCAAATGCACAGTCGAATCATTATGTTATTAATTGGTGCTTTCTGGCGCGTCGACAGCTTGGGTTGTCAAAATGACATTTGCTAAGCATACACCGCTGTCAAACTAGTATTTACCAATTGCTTTAATAAGCAATCTTTGACAGATACTTCCGCAGCACGCCAAATTATGGCATATCATTTGTAGTATTTTATAAACGCAACTATTGGACATTCACAAAAAATATATTTGAGAAAGAAATATAAAGTGGTTAGGTCTACATCGAGAACAAATTACATTAATGACCATCTTCCAAAGAAAAACACTTGAAGTTGTGGGATTCAGAGAAAACTTTACGGACAAAACACTACCCATCGAGGAAGCCATCAACTACTTCTGAATTATAACGCCATAAGTGGAACAATCATGTTCGACATTTGTAACGCAACGTCGAGCCACAAATGAAAAATGGTGGAAAGTGGAAGATATCAAGGTGGAAATTATCCCCTGTAAGACATGAAAGAGGAAATAAGTCACAAGTATAAATAACAAAGGGTGTAAAGTTTTACCTTTGCACTTCAGAGAATGAAGTGGAAGAGGATCGGGAACGGATGACGCGCAGGATAACACCTGAAAAAATACTTCATTATCAATTCCAGTGACAAGAAGCCAACTCAAAGCATGACCCGCATGGTTGACAAAAAAATTCGAAACACAGTTTAACCCGCTATTATCGCTATGCAAAATAGGTAGGGCGGAAAAGTTATGTGATCTGTTCATAATGAATACATACTAACATACATTGCGACCGACCGACATACAGACATACCGACAAATCGACATACCGACCGACAGACCAACCGACCGACCGACCGACCGACCGACCGACATCCCGACAGACACAGACTGTTCGTGTGATTCGTGGTCGTTCACTCTGATCCGGCACGGCAGACCAAAGTGTTCGTGTAATCGTCCAGTTCACTCAGAATTGCGTATCTGATCGTATGGTTTCATTAACCGGAGGACCAAAAGAGTTCTTTGATGAATGTCTATTTCTGGATTACTCGTCACACACTGCACGTCAATCGAATCGTACGACGCCGGCGCCGTCGCGCCGGCGGAGCCGCGACGTCGTCGTCGTTTCGCCGCGAACTGCCGAGCCGGCCGGCGGCGGCCGGCCCGGCGTATTGGGGCCGGTCAGCACAAATATGTGCTCCAGATGACCCCTGCGGGCCCGAGAGGACCACGTGGACGGTGAGGCTCGGCTATGCCCGCCACGCGCTGCCGTTGCTCCACGGCACGGCACGTTTTCTCTCGAACATGGCCGGCCCGAATTTTCGCGTCGCTCGCGGAAATTCTAAACGTAAGAGAGAGAAAACATTAGCGAAACAACAAACAGCTGCTCGCAGGCAGTGTCTCTGTCTGTATCGTACAGCAATAAACGACCACTAAAGCTAAGACTGTAAACTACGTCGGCTGCGCCGCGCGTCGGTCCCGATCTAAGGTTGCTACACTCTAAGGCTGTAAACTTCTAACTCGTACAAGACCAACCGGCTAAATGAGCCAGGAGTGACACTGCGACAGTGTGAACGCTGGCGACTGTCGGACGGCTCACAGCTGTTGACTAATGGCTAAACACCAAACACAAATGACCGGCGCACAGAATGAACGACTCATTCTCGCACACGCACACGTTAGCACCGCGAATGACGGACGCAGTAAACACTAATAGATGTCCAGACTACGCCACTGATCGGCGGCACAGAGCGGTCGTAAACGACTCACTTCAGTCGTCTCACGCGCGCGCATTGTCACTCTGAGGCCATTTACTGTTCGTCACCGTCGCACTCGAGACGGCAGAGACGAGAGACTGGCCGCTTGTAACGACCAGTGGCGGTGGCCACTTCTACCACCCGCACTCGACCGTCGGCCCCAGGGAACACGCTCACCACTCGCCCCACTGGTCAGTGCCCGCGAGGCAGATTGTCATCTGTCACCAGCACTAACTCACCGAGCTGCACGTCTGCCGGGTCTGCGCGTCACTTCACCCGTGTGGTGAGCGTCTGGAGGTGCGGCCCGGGGCCGGCTTGCCCACTTGGAAGGCTGTAGGTCACTCGTCGGCGTCGGCGCTGGCTGGGCTGACCGCTTCCGGCACGGGATGCAGGCAGGTGTGTATCGCTCCACAGCGGCTCTGCCACTGATGACCCAGAGCTGGCGCCGCAGGTGAGTCAGAACGTGCTCTGTACCAGAATGGGCGAGCTTCTTGTGTCGATCGGTGACTATCAGCCGAGTGATGTCTCCACGTGCAGGTAGAATCACCCGGTGCTTGAACTTGAAGTCTAGCTGAGCGTGGCACAGCTGGCCCCCGACTCGTAGAAGGCCGCTCGAGTCCAGGAAGGGGTTAAGCCGGTGCAGCTGGCTGTTCGAGGGAAGCGGCCTTCGGTGCTGGAGAGCCGCGATATCATCGCCGAAATGCTCGGCCTGTGTGCTGAGCAGCCAGACGCGCTCAGCCTCCCTCAGCTCCTCCGCAGTCAGCGGTCCCGTCTGCCGATCGGCTGCTGCCCGGCTGCGGGTGTTGTGAGCGAAACGGCGCGCCCACGCTGTCACACGCAGCAGCCTGAGCCACGATGAGAACCGGCTGGGGTTTATGGCCGGCTCCGCTCCCCTGGTGACGCAGGCTGGTGCTCTCATTTCGGCCGTTTCCTCGTCTCTCGGGCGCTCTGTCGGGCGGGGCGGCGCGGCGGGCCGGTCCTGAGGACGGCGCGACAGGACGGCGCGACCTTGGCCCCACTCTCCGCTCGGTGCCACTTCAGCCATCGAGCAGCCTCGGCTGCCTATGTTCGATGAGTTCAGTGACCCTGGCACGTGTTGCCATCGAGTCACTTCCGAAACGTCCTGGGTTTCCTCGCTGACACGGATATGGTGCACGTCCTTGTTGACTGGCAGGTTCTGGTCCGGCGCGCGGCCGGTGACCGTCCAGCCGAGCAGTGTTCTCACGGCGCACGGCGCACCCGGTGGTCCGTCGATCACCTCACGTGCCACGATCAGTTCTATGACGTCAGCGCCCAGAAGTACTTCTACTGGACCTCGAGTCGCACTCGGCAGATCCAGGTCAGCGAGATGAGGCCATTTGCCCTTCTCCCGTGACCAGTCCATGGCGTGATCTGACACACTCAGCGCCGGCGTCGTTTGGGCGTTCCGTATTTCGTGACGTGTGCCACCGCTGCTGACAGGCTCGATCACGAAGGACACACGGCGTGATCTGAGTCTTTCACTTCCGTTTATGGTACTCAGGACCAAACTGTCAATGGGTCCAGAGATGCCGAGACGGTCGCTCAGGCCTTCGGTCAGGCCTGCCGCGCCCGCTCCGCCTGCGTCTCCGCCTCCTGCCGTGTCAGCTCCGCCTTTGCCGCGGCCGCGCGCTGGCCTTGCTCCGCTGCGAGCTTGCTTAGCGCGGCTCGGCGGTGGGCTGCGCTGATGGTGGACGACGCTCCGCTGCCGAAGGTCTCGCTGCGGGTATGACATGCCTGCGAGCTGCGCGTAGATTTAGCGTCACACCGTGCGACCGCCTTTGCGGTCGATTTCGCGTCGGAGTTCGCTTCCGACATCACTCGATCACTGCACTCGCGTCGGACTGTACGTCCATTCACTCACTAGTTCACATATATCCGGCCCGGAGGACCAAAAATGTTCGTGTGATTCGTGGTCGTTCACTCTGATCCGGCACGGCAGACCAAAGTGTTCGTGTAATCGTCCAGTTCACTCAGAATTGCGTATCTGATCGTATCGTTTCATTAACCGGAGGACCAAAAGAGTTCTTTGATGAATGTCTATTTCTGGATTACTCGTCACACACTGCACGTCAATCGAATCGTACGACACCGGCGCCGTCGCGCCGGCGGAGCCGCGCCGTCGTCGTCGTTTCGCCGCGAACTGCCGAGCCGGCCGGCGGCGGCCGGCCCGGCGCATTGGGGCCGGTCAGCACAAATATGTGCTCCAGATGACCCCTGCGGGCCCGAGAGGACCACGTGGACGGTGAGGCTCGGCTATGCCCGCCGCGCGCTGCCGTCGCTCCACGGCACGGCACGTTTTCTCTCGAACACAGACTATACAGGCAGACTATATAGACAGACTACAGACATATAGGGGAATTGAGAGAGAAGGGAGGGAGGGAGGGTTAAAGGGGAAGATGAGGACGAGAGGGAAGAGAGCGAGGGAGCGAGGGAGGGAGGAGGGAAGAGAGAGAGAGAGAGAGAGAGAGAGAGAGAGAGAGAGAGAGAGAGAGAGAGAGAGAGAGAGAGAGAGACGCTCCGCGTACTCAGCTCTGGCTAGAAGCAATCAAGGATACCGGTAATTTCACTTCACACTCTTACGGTACGACACGTACCTGCTCGCTCGACGCGTCGTCAGCGTTGTCACAGGTCATCAGAATCGTCGGCTGATCGCTGAGCGGTGCGACCTGTTGGAAATAATAAGGCGGTTAATTATCGCATACAGTTAATCACTTATAGGGGAATTGAGAGAGAAGGGAGGGAGGGAGGGTTAAAGGGGGAGAGGAGGACGAGAGGGAAGAGTGCGAGGGAGCGAGGGAGGGAGGGGTAGAGAGGGGAGAAATAGAGAGAGAGAGAGAGAGAGAGAGAGAGAGAGAGAGAGAGCCGCTCTGCGTACTCAACTCTGGTTAGAAACAATCAACGATACCGTGAGTAGGTCCACTTCACACTCTTACGGTACAACACGTACCTGCTCGCTCGACGCGTCGTCAGCGTTGTCACAGGTCATCAGAATCGTCGGCTGATCGCTGAGCCTTGCGACCTGTTGCAAATAATAAGGCGGTTAAAGGGACTATCCCACCTTTAACATGGGGTTTGAGTTGAGATAGCCAAGTTTGCGGCGAGGTTCAGAAACCACTATCTATCTAGGTTGCAACCCCCGCGGCCTCTTGGTGTTGAAGAAATTCGTTCCCTTCATTTGAAAATGGGCCTTGTACAAGGCCCTATCTTCAACATGGAGCGACCGTTAGTGTGACGTCACCTCGTTTAGTCATTCTGATTTAAATGGGTTTGTTCGTTGAGAAATCGCTTAAAACTTGGTCTGAACTTTGTTGTGGTGCATACAGAGTAAAAAGAATCAGCTTTATGACAGTAATGTGGCCTGGGGAAGGAGGTAATTTTGGGCTGTGACGTCACATATTTGAAAGTTTGTGTTTGGAATATGGGAAGCCTAAGATGTTTAATGAAAAATAAATGCCAGAACGGTGCTCCTGGTCATCCAATCTATAAAGTCGGGCACAATTTAACTGGTTTTAACAACATTTTAGAAGGTGGGATAGTCCCTTTAATTATCGCATAGGGGAGAGGCGGGAGAATTGGGACTTATTTCTCAGGCCATGTTCATTGAGGTATTATTTGGAAAGTATTGTAGCCAAGCTGTTTTGCGCAGCATCAATGAAAGGTCGAGCATTTCTCTGCATTATGCCATCATAAAATAGC